AGCCTTCCAGTTCATCCCTTCCCAGGCCCTTACAGTGTGGCTGAGCCACTTCTTACCAAGAAGTGGGTTCATTTCTACAGCCCTTCAGCCAGGCTGGCCTGGGATGTCCTTCACCCCTAGAATGCGGTGCAAGTGATGAATGTAGCTTCTGAACCTCCCAACCTCGAGTGGCTTTGCATCTCCTCTTCTAGTCCCTTCTATGCGGCCTCTGCATTGAGAAGTCCAGACTAGATTTCTTTTTTCTGTTTTTAATATATTTGTATTGATTTCAGAGAGGAGGGGAGAGGGAAACATCCATGATGAGAGAGAACCATGGATCAGCTGCCTCCTGCATGCCCCCTACTGGGGATTGAGCCTGGAACCCGGGCATATGCCCTGACCAGGAATCGAACCTGTGACCTCCTGGTTCATAGATGGTGTTTAACCATTGAGCCACGCTGGCCAGGCCAGACTAGATGTAACAATGAGAGAAGACACAAGAGAAGGGCCCAGCAATAGGCAGAACCCACCACCAGATTTGCAAGAGAGCTCACCTTACCATTGAGCTGCTGATGACAGCAGCTATGCGTGTGACCCGGCAAGGGCAGCAGCAAGACCACCCTGGGTCCAGTACAAATTGATGACCCACGATACTTTTTAAAAAATATATTTTATTGATTTTTTACAGAGAAGAAGGAAGAAGGATAGAGTTAGAAACATCGATGAGAGAGAATCCTCGATCAGTTGTCTCTTGCACACCCCCTCCTGGGGATGTGCCCGCAACCAAGGTACATGCCCTTAACCGGGATCAAACCTGGGACCTTTCAGTCCAAAGGCTGACACTCTATCCACTGAGCCAAACCAGTTTCGGCAGACCCACGATACTTTTAATCAAGATATAATTTACATACAACATTGTGAGTTTAAGGTGCACAGTGTGTTGAGTTGACACATTTATATATTGCAATATGACTACCACCATAGCTTAAGCTAACCCCTCTATGGTGCCACATGATTACCATTTCTGTGTGTGTGTGTGTGTGTGTGTGTGACATTTAACATGGAGTCTTTTTGCAATTTTGAAATGCATACTCCAATTTGTCGACTATAATCACTATGCTGAGCATAGGTCTTCAGAACTTACACACCTTCTATTTGCAAGTTTGTACCCTTTGACCAACGTCTCCCACTTCACCTGTCCCCAGGTCCTGGTAACTATTCTATTTTCTAATTTATGAGTTCGGCTATTTTAGATTTCACATATAAGTGATATCATGCAGTTGTTGTCTTTCTCTCTGGCTTATTTCACTAAACATAATGCCCTCAAGTTCATCCATGTTGTTGCAAATGTCAGGATTTCCTTCTTTCTTGTGGCCAGATCACAATCCATTGTGTACATGTGCTGCAACTTCTTAATCCATTTTTCCCTTGGCACACTCCAGGATGCTCCCATACCGTGGCTATTGTGAATAATGCTGTAACAAAGATGAACATGCTGATATCTTTCAAATGTTCTGTTTCATTTCATATATGAACAGAAGTGTGATTGCTGGATCATATGGTAGTTGTATTTTTAATTTCTTGAGGAACCATCACACTGTTTTCCCTAGGGGCAGAAACCAATTTACATTCCTACCCACAGTGCATAAGGGTTCCCTTTTCTCCACATCCTCGCCAACAGTTATCTCTTGTCTTCTTTTTTTTTAATTATTATTTTTTCTTTATTGATTAAGGTCTCCTGTCTTCTTGATGGTTGCCATTCAAACAGGTGTGAGGTGAAATCTCATTGTGGTTTTGACTTGCATTTCCCTAATGATTAGTGATATGAAGCACCCTTTGTGAATCTGTTGACCATTTGGCTATCTTTGTTGGAAAAAACAAACAAACAACTATTCAGTTCCCCTGCCCATTTTAAATTTTTGTTGTTGCTGTATAAGTCCTTTGTATAATTTAGATGTTAACTCCTTATCTGATATATGGATTGCAAACATTGTTTTCCGTTCCACAGGTTGCCTTTCATTTTGTTGATTCTTTTGCTAGGCAGGAGATTTTTAGTTTCATGTAGTCTCACTTGTCAGTTTTTGCTTTTGATATCATACCCCAAAAATCATTGCCAAGATCAGTGTCAAGGAGCTTCTTCCCATGTTTCCTTCTAGGAGTTTTACAGTATTGGGTCTTATGGTTAAGCCTATAATCCATTTCCAGTTAGTTTTTGTGGGTAGTGTAGACAGGGTCCCATTTCATTTTTCTGTATGTGATTATCGTTTCCCCAGCACCATTTGTTGAAGAGGCTATCCCTTTCCTATTAAGTGTTCTTGGCTCCCTTCCCTCAAATATAAGCTCACCATATATGCAGGGATTTATTTCTGGGCTCTCCAGTCCGTTCCACTAGTCTGTCTGTTTTCATGCCAGGACTATACTGTTTTAGTTACTACAGCTTTGTAGTACAATTTGAAATCAGGAAGCATTATGCCTCTGGTTTTATTCTTCTTTCTCGGGGTTGCTTTGGCTTTTCAGGGACTATTGTAGTTCCATATAAATTTTACAATTGTTTCTCCTATTTCTGTAAAAAAAAAAAAAAAAAGAAAAAAAAGATGCCATTAGATTTAGATAGGGATTGCATTGAATCTATAGATGGATTTGGGTAGTATGGAAATATTAACCATATTAATTCTTCTTATCCATGAACATGATATCTTTTCATTGTGTCTTCTTCAGTTTCTTTTTATCAAAGTACTATTCTTTTTATTGTATAGATTTTTCACTTTCATTCTTTAAATTTATTCCTAAGTATTTTATTGTTTTTGATGCTATTGTGAATGGGATAGTTTTCTTTATTTCTTTTTTAGATATTTCATTGTTAGTGTATAGTAGGGGTGTTGAACTCAATCAGAGAAGGGGCCAAAATCTAAAATCTAGCCTAAATCGCAGGCCGAATGGTTTACTGAACAGTCATAAACTGTCATTGTGATGGAAACGCAGCGGAGTGCAGTGATGACAGCGCGGTGCGGGCCACATTGCAAGGCCTGGCGGGTCGGATTTGGCCCGCGGGCCTTGTGTTTGACACATGTGGTGTATAGAAATACAACTGATTTCTGTATGTTGATATTATATAGTGCAACATTACTGAATTCGTTGATTAGTTCCAGCAGTTTCTTACTTGAGTCCTTGGAATTTTCTGTATATAAACTCATATCATCTACAATTACTTTCTTCTTTCCATTTTGGATGCCTTTTATTTTATGTCTTGCCTAATTACTCTATCCAGAACTCCCAGTACTGTTTTGAATTTGTGTGATAACAGTAGACACCCTGGTCTTGTTCCTGATTTTAGAGGAAAAGCTTTAAGTTTTTCACCACTGAGTATGATGTTAACTGTGGGTTTATCACATATGACCTTTATTCTGTTAAGGTATGTTTCTTCTACACCCAAGTTGTTGAAGGTTTTTATCAAATAGTATTTTGTCAAATGCTTTTTTCTAATCTATTGAGATAATGAGATGATTTTTATCTTTCATTCTATTAATGTGATATATCTTGAACCATCCTTGCATCCCAAAGATAAGTCCTACTTGGTCATGTGTATGATCTATTTAATATGTTGTTGAATTCAGTTTGCTAATATTTTGTTGGTGAGTTTTGCACTTATATTTATCAGGGATATTGTTCTATAGTTTTCTCTTTCTGTAATCCTTATCAGAATTTGGAATCCTGGTAATACAGTCTCATAAAATGAAGAAAATTACATTTTTGGAAGAGTTTTGAAACAATTGGTGTTAATCTTTCTTTAAATATTTAGTGGGGTTCATCAAGAGAGCCATCTGCCCCCGTAGTTTTCCTGGTTATCAGAAGGATGTTTTGTTCTAAAGACTTCTTTTGTTTCTGTATATTGTTCAAACAAATTTTTAAGGTGATTTTTCTTTGTTTTTATTGTTCTGTTTGTCTGCCCCACTTTTATCTGGGCTTTTCTGTGTTGGGAGGTTTTTGATTACTGATTCAATTTCATGACTTATTGGTCTGTTAAGATTTCCTATTTCTTCCTGATTCAGACATGGTAGGTTGTATGTTTCTAGGAATTTATTCATTTCCACTAGCTTATCCAATTTGTTGGCCTATAATTACTCATAGTAGTCTCTTATGATCCTACGAGTTTCTGTAATATTAGTTGTAATGTCTTCTCTTTCCTTTATGATTTTATGAATTTCAATCTTCTTTTTAAATCTTTATTTCTTCTAAATAAAGATTTGTCAATTTTGTGTATCTTTTTGAAAAACCAGCTCTTAGTTTCATTGATCTTTTCTATTGTTTTTCTGATCTGTATTTCATTTATTTCCACTCTGAATTTTGTTATTTCCTTCCTTCTGGTAATTTGGGGCTTCATATGTTTTTCTTTTTCTAGTTTCTCGAGATGTAAAATTAGGTTGTTTGAGGTACTTCTTTTTTCTTACTATATGCATTTATCACTATAAACTTCCCTCTCAGAACTGCTTTTGCAACATCTCTTGAGTTTTGCTGTACTTTGTTTTCATTTTTATTTGTTTTGAGATTTTTTTATTTCCCTTTTTATCTCTTCTTTGACCCACTAAATTTTCAGGAGTCTGTTGTTTAGTTTCCACATGCGTGTAAAATTTTCAACTTTCCTCTTGTTGTTGATTCTAGTTATACCACTGTGGTTGGAAAAGATAGTTTGGTATGATTTTAGTCTTCGTAAATTTTCTAAGACTTGCTTTGTGGCCTATCATATATCATCTATCCTGGAGAATGTTCTACTGCTGACGGATGAAATATCCTATAAGGTCCATTTAGACTAATGTATGGTTCAATTCCAACATTCCTTGTTGATTTTCTGTCTGGTTGATCTATTCATTGCTGAAAGTGGGGTTTTGAAGTCCCATACCATTATTATATTGTTGTCTATTTCTCCCTTCAGATCTGTTACTATTGTGAAAATATTTAGGTGCTCCAATGTTGAGTGCATATATATTCACAATTATTATATTTTCTTGATGAATTGACCCCTTAAAAATATGGAACAATTGATGAATTTGCATGTCATCCTTGTTCAGGGGCCATGTTAATCTTTATTTTTCCAATTTTAGTATATGTGTTGCTAAAGTGAGCACAACCAACAGTATTAAGATCAGATAAAATTGTAGTTTTAAGCCACTATATTTTCAGGTGGTTTTCAAACACAGTAGATAATTGATAAATACTTAATCTGATTGATGAATATAGGAAGAGAGGCTGAGGGTATACAATTCGACCCCTTCTTCAGGCTCCTTTTGGGAGGAAGCATCTCTGAGAGTCCATGTTCTTTTGTCATTCACACAGTAAATCTTCAGGATTGAAATGCACTGATATATACTTTTTCCAAATGCTAAAGGGCCAAGAGTTAAAGCCAGTATTTGGCTGAAATCAAGACCAAAATCAAATGAGAAAAAAGAATAAATCTGAAAAATAATTTAAATTTAGAATATTATCATCATTTTAGTAGTCACCAATTGAAAAGTTGATTAGTGAAGTAAATGTATCTTAAATATTTTTAACAATGTATTTCTTTTTTTCCTTATAATCTTTATTATGTCAAAATTGAAAGTAATTTGTCAAGATTTTGAATTTTTCTCCCCTTGAAATTTTAAGGTGGTAAAAAACAATCATTTAATTCATTCTCACAAGATGTGAAAAATTCTCAAAAAGGACTTTTTATTGAGAGCACTTAGTGTCCTTTTATGGGATTTGTCTTGACACTTTTCTATTACCTATTTTATGCAAGTGTAGTTTTCCTGGTTATCAGAAGGATGTTTTGTTCTAAAGACTTCTTTTGTTTCTGTGTATTGTTAAAACAAATTTTTAAGGTGATTTTTCTTCTGTTTGTCTGCCCCACTTTTATCTGGACTTTCTCTTTTCTTTATCTAGCTTTTCCTTTCCTGATAAATTTTGATTTAGCTCCTACCTTTTGCCTAAGTGTGGGACCCTATAGAAGGTAGGAAGGTGGTATTGCTAAGCCTGTCAGCCTGGCTTATTACAGGCCCCTTGCCTCACCTGCTAGTCAAGGGGCAAACCCCTCAGAATGTGATTTTATTCGGAAGTAGAGTTGTTGCAGATGTAACTAGTTAACACGGAGTTGTACTAGATTGTAGCCCTGCTCCAATGTGACTGATGGTCTTATGAGAATACTAGAAGCCCAGTGCATGAAATTCATGCACTCAGGGGGGTAAGAGGGTGCCTCAGCCTGGCCTGTGCCCTGTCACAGTGTGGGAGCCCTGAGATCTATTGCTCCAAAGAGGTAGGCCCCACCCACCCAGCCAGGGCTCCTCCAAGGATTGCCCCAAAGAGGTAGACTGGAGCCTGACTTGGCACTGCGTGGAGACAGGAGGCAGGACCTCCAAGCAGGCTCTGTGCCGCATCAAGCCCAGCATCAAGCCCAGCCCCGCCCACCTGTGTTCCTCCTGCTGTGCACACAGCCATCTTGTGACGGCTAAGGGCATCATGGCTTGACAACCACTTTTATTAGTAAGGTTGGCTATGAAAATGGAGAAAATACATGTGACGACAATGGCAGAGATTGGAGTTATTGTAGCTGCAATGCCAGAGATTGCCCACAGACCCCCAGAAGCCAGGAAAAGGCAAGGAAGCATTCCCTCACTGGTATCAGTGGGTGTGCAGGCCTGCAGATACCTTGATTCCAGACTTCTAATCTCCAAAACTGTGAGGCAGTACCTTTCTTTTGTTTTAAGCCACCCTGTTTGTGGTACTTCGTTATGGCCTCCCCAGGTAACTAATACCCTAAGTCAAGGCTCAAGGGCTTCTTATCTTTGTGATCTGATGCTTGTACTGAGCATGCAGCTAGTTTTTGCACTCACAAAAAGGCATAATATAAGGAATCCCACTGACCCCAAGGTGAACACAGAACCCAACACCCAAGAATTTGGAAGCAGCTAATGTGGACTAATGTCGATATACAGAGTTCCAGTCTTCTGTAATCTAATTAACCTGGTTACACTGATGCTTTTGGAACCTTTAAGAACAGAGAGAGGCACAGCCCTAGCTGCGGACTGAAGGGTCCTGGGTTTAGTTCCAGTCAAGGACACAAGCTCGGGTTGTGGGCTTGATCCTCAGTACAGGGCATGCAGGAGGCAGTCAATTAATGATTCTCATCATTGACACTCTCTCTCTCTCTCTCTCTCTCTCTCTCTCTCTCTCTCTCTCTCTCTCTCTCTCTTTCTCTTCCTCTCTGAAATTTTAAAAATTAAAAAAAGAACAGAGGTGCAGTCAGTGTGCTATAGAGTTCATGTTTATCTGGCCCCAAATGCCCCCGAGTGGCCCTGCGCCCTGCCCACAGTTTCTTTTTGTAGTTTTCTGTAAGTGTACATTATTTTCTGATGTGAAAAAGCTTGACTTCTACAGGTGAAGCTTGGGGGCAACTCTTCTCTTAGAACTAGTGTTTAAATTCTGAATCGCCAAACTAGCCAACAAATCTCAAACAATAATTTTTCCTTGTTAATAGTAAAAATAAACAGATTCCCATTAGAGGGAATCTTGACTTGATTTCTCCCCTCCTGGAGGAGAGGCTCCTGGGGGAGGGGGATCGACGGTGGTTTTGCAGGTCTCCTTGGAAAAAGCATCAAAGGTGAGGCCTTCCCTGTGCTTGGAGAAGCTCATGGAAACACTCTCTCGTAGATTCTATGAGTGCAATACATGATAGTCCTGCCAGAACTATCCCTGCAGTTGAAGCCATTTTATGGGATAGTTTTCTATGGGACATTCCCTATTGAAATTGGAACTAGATCAGAGTCCTAGGGCTTTTTCTTCTTGCCTCATTTAATCAATTGTTCCTCTCCATTTTCAATAGTCTCTAGAACAGTGATTTTCAAACCTGAGTGTGCATGGGGCTTGCATTCATAGACTGATTCAGTGGGACCAAGCTGGGTTCAGAAAACTGGAGATCTTTATATATTTATTGTTCTGTAACCAACCCTGGGACATGTGTCTGACCATTGCCTTTTGCTGCCTCTACTTTTCCCACAATCATCTGGGGTCAGAAGAAGCAAGTTCCGCCCCCTTTCCCTTCATTTCTGGAAGTGCCCTCCACCTCCCAAAGTAAAACTCTAGACTCTATTTGGCCAGTCTGTCCCCTGATATGCTAAATGGGGAACTGAGATGGTGTTTGTGACTTTATTTCACACATTAATTAATGAGGGAGACAGTAAGATAATATTACTGATTCACAAGCACACACATCTATAAGTCATTAGGAATGCTGAAATGAATTTGCAAAGAGATGGAAAACTGGTTAATATCCACAGGGCCATAATCACTTATATTCCGATGAAAATATTCATTTGCATTTCTATAGACAAGCATTACTTGCATTACTGTACATTTTCTAAGACTTGCTAAGTTACCAAATAGCTTGAAGACTTGGTCTCAAATCCCTATAGAACTAGACAACGTGGAAGGTTGTGCTAAATAGGACCCAAGTGATATTTTTCTTCCTGTTTAAATGTCTTTCAAATTTTTCTTGATACAGTCAAAGGCCTAACTTTTCTTATCAGTAAAACGAGAGATTTGGACTAGTGACTCCTGAGACCCTTCAATTTCAGTGTCCTATTACTGGAATGCCTTGGCCATTGTCCACATGTCTACATAAAACTCATGGAAACTTTTTTTGCTGGTATGTCAAAACTATTGAAGTCATTTGTGTTAATCAAACTCAACATATCTGTGAGTGTATCCCCTGTCTAAAAATAAGAGCAAACACAAATTCTGCCTCTCTCTCTCTCTCTCGTGTGCACACACGTACTTGTAAATAGAAGCAGAACCTGACCACAGGTAGTGTAGGTGTATATATTCACTGTCTCTACCAAATGTGACTTAGAGAAGATGCTGCTAGCATGGTTAATATGATAAATCAGGGCAATATTGTGAAGATTTCATAGAGGCTAAAACTTGGAGAGGCAATGATTAAAGATTTCTCTAATTCTTGTAGACTTTATATTTTCCTGCCGGACACATACAGCAGATCTTTTCAGAGTGCTTTGTGGTTGTGGAGGAGGTTGCAGCAGTGTTGGGGATGTCCCCAGCTGGTGGAGCTGGTGGAGACGTGGAAGAGAGTAGGAATATACTGAAATGTGATTTTGTTTGTTTACTTCATTCCTCCTCTGTTAGACTAAGCTCTAAACTATAAAGCAACAGAGAAGAAGGACAGAGCCTCTTTAACCTAGTAACTTAACAAATGGTTGTTGAATGAATAATTGAACTAACTCTCCTTTCTCTAAACACAGAGCACAGGTATCCTAAAAAGCTCTCAACCTATTTAGTTCTTTAAAAATCTGCCATATTTGAAGGTGTGAAAGCATGAGTAATGAGTATGTGCAGCTGATGTTTTGAGGATAAATATTCTACTTCATAGATTTTATCAGGTAAAACCCCATTCAGTTTAGAAATCAGCATCAAAATTTCTTTTTTATGTAAATTTGTTTATCCTCATTCCAGTGGTCTCACTTTAGCTAAAATGATATTCTTGATGGTAAAACATAAAAACAATCACATTTCTTTGTTTCAATCTTTCTTTTCTTTTATCCTAGTCATTTCTGTAGAGTGCTGGGTAGAATTTGGGAGAGTTTCTGGTAATAACACACCTACACAGAGGTGCTGCAGGAAGCAGAAAGTACATACCTGATACCCTCAGTAACTATAGTTGATGAGTCACATACAAACTTAGGACAGACGTTAGTTACTGAATGGGGAAGATTTATGTCCCAAATATCTTTTTCTATACCATAACATAACCTGAATTCAGGGGCAAAAATATCAGAGGCCTAGATTTTAAACAAACACACACATACATTTTATGCCTGTCTACATAGATACATACATGGTTACATATAAGGCTCAGAGGGTGGGCATGGGATGGGATGATGAGAAAAAAATAACTAATGTAATCAGCACCTTGTATGTGAGAGCCAGATGGCATCCATTCCTTTTATTGTCACAATAATCCCGAGAAGCAGCTTTCAGGTGAAGGATGTGAGACTCCGTACGTGGCAGAACTCAGTTTTGAAATAAGTTTTGCTTGACTCCAAAGCTAATAGGACGTAGAGTGAGACTTCCTCCTGTTGTC